TGTCTTGTCTGAGATTAAATTCTGTACTTACTGAGATATTATACTTGGATTGCCTACTGGTATAGGTTTCGCAGAAACCAGCTATCCTGGTCAGTATTGTTTTCACTACATCATGGTACAGAATCTAGGGAGATGAAGGAGATACAAATTGGACTCAAGTTCTTCTTCGTGGTCCAACCATCAACATTTTGGAACAGGATATCATCAATGATGGAAAGATCTTTATACTTTATACCAAGGAAATCATCAATAACACGCAGGTTGTCACGTAATCAATCATTCGGTCACATCATTCACTCATCCTCCCGTAAGACATGATAACAGTTTTCTCCTTATGCTCGTCACTCTATTCGTACAAGATGCAATTCTCGTCCCCCAAACATTGTTACAGCCCAGCTGTCCTTTAGAACGCAATCCATGCACCCGAAGAGAAGGAGCCTCGAATACCATACTGAAAAGCATCGAAGCGAAGGAAGCCGCATGACCCGCCCTCCAAGTGGTTGATCACTCCAGCCAGAGTGGTGGACACTCTGTGGCACCCTCTGTTGGGGCAGTGGTAGAGATCCTGCTGGTGGCGGGGAGAGGCCAGATGCTGGTTCAGACTTGAGAGCTGTCTGAACGTGTCACCGCAGCGGGAGCACTGGTATCGTCCATAGTGAGCGTTGAAGACGAGAGCTGTTGCTTGAAAGGTTACTGTCTCCTTCCAGATGATGAGTCTGTTGCTCATAGAGCCTTGGGGATCTTGGCGTCTGACTTGCTGGCGTAGAGGGTCGCGGTTGAGAGGTGCATTGTGGCAAGCACCTTGCTCAAGATGGTGGATAACGCCACTGGCAGCATTGAACTGCGCCGGGCAGAAGGGGCATGCGACGTCTCTCTGGTAGCCTGGAACGTTGGAATGGTTCTGCCCATGCTGTCTGGCGTTGGACTGCTACTCAGGTCAGTGGTTGTGTATGTTTAGTTGGCCTGCGCTAAACAAACCTGGTTGGGGACACGCGAGTCTGAGGATCCCTCATAGCGAGAATAAGGAGAGTAGTAGGCACACGAGAATGCTTGATGAGATCGCAGCTCTGAAGAGCCACGGAAGCCACTTCCACAACCAAGACATTCCCAGTATGGCGGGATATGACCTAGGGCTTCGCAGTGCTGATCTCGAGCGAATCTTCCCGCGGGGAACTGTCGCTAACAAGTTCCACACGAGTACATATTCGCTTTGCTAGTCGTTAAGATGATTTTGAGTGTCTACTTGTGGAAATGAAGGTAAACTTTGGAAGATGATACTGGGCGGGCGACGAAAGAATAGAGTCGAGGGGAGCAGAGGAGAGGAGTATGCACCGGGAAACGGTTTATGTAAAGGGAAAATTGAGAAATCCTGGCAAGCATAACTTGGTGGGTGGACTTAGGGTTGTGTCTCGTCCGATGTTCCCAAGGCTTAGGTTGCTGTAGGATTGCGTGTTCGGCAGTGTTCAGTGATTCCCAGTGCAGTTCAGCAGACGGGAGCCTAGGTAGTCTCATTCTAGATACCTTAGACACGTATTATTACCTGAGGCATACAACTGATACGACATGACATTCTAAACCGACCTCAGATCAATGGCCAGTGTCTTCCCGTCGACTACCGATTACCCAGCCCAAAGCAAAAGACACAAGATACAACAATTCCCCCCTATGGCAGAGCTATCATCTTATACGGATCAACAATAGTAGCAATACTCTTCTGCACCTGTTGAAACCTCATTATCTTACAACTCTCAGTCTCAAGATGATTTATCAACGCCGCCAACGTCTTGAACTCCTTCCCACAAGACCTCTTCACACAATGATACAAACTCTGCTGATGTCTCGGCGACTCAAGATGCTTCTTCAAGCCAAAAAGGGTTGTGTGAAGTTTATGGCATAGATAGCACTCGAAAGCTTTGGACCAGGGGTTCCATGCTGCAGTTGGGTTGATGGCGTACGTCTTCTCACCGTGCCATGCTAGCTCTTTGTTCGTGATGATACTGCGATGGTCACGGTTCTTGATGTAGCGGTAGAGCTTGCTGCGGTCCATGGGGACGTGAGGACATGAACCTCGTTCTAGATGGTGGGATAGACCTGTTGCTGTGCTGCAGGTTGCTCTGCAGAAGGGACATTTCACTGCTGATACGCGATGAAGCTTGGAATTCAAATGCTGAACGAGTTAGCAACCACTCGGTCAAATGTTGGATATGAGCTTACCATCCTGAGGTTGTTCGCGTTCATGAACTCACGATTGCAGTCCGCGCAGTGAAAATGACTTTCAATCTCGTGCTCCCTAATCTCAGCCTGCGTAACAGCTTTATCGCCGCATAATTGACACTCAGGTGCATTTCGACGCCAATGTTGTTCAAGGTTCATGTGCTGACGACGATCATACTCGTCGTCGAAGCAGTCACTACAGCTATCGCACTCGAAGGCTGGGGAGGCGTGGCCTGTCGCTTGACAATGCTGGTCGCGAGCTTTTCTACCAGCGTAGAAGAGTTTGTCGCAGTCTGTACAGTAATATGTCATGTTGGTCGACGGTTGTGAGCGTTGAGGAGGATGATTAGTGGCTTGTGAGAGTTTGAGGGGTTGGGATGCTGTAATTTACCTTAATCTCGGGTGAGCTAACGTCAAGTTTCAGGATAGAGTTTTGGTGGTGACCGACCAGAACAACAACTGAACATGTCCTCTATATATAGATTTTTTGTTTGTGTTGCTCTGTCGCACATATCTATATTCTGTTATCAATCATATCTTAGGTATACACGATGTGAAGTCGATATTTGGTGGAGTCAACAACTCGACAGTCAGGAAGACTAAAGTAGTTTGGGAATAGTGTCAATCAAGTGGATCCAGCGACCAGACAACTGAGGTTATCGCCCTCCAACTGGTTTCCTAGCACAGGAAGGATCATGCACAGGCTGACTGCAAAGACGTTCATTAATCTTTTTCGAAGACGTGAGACGACTGAGAACATTAACCATTATTCGTAAAAAAGGACCCTTTCCACCATGAGTCCAGTCCATGACCGATAAGTGGTATCATCATTAAGAAGCAAAACAAGAAGCAAACGATCCCTTCCGACTCCATGCTTTTCATAACCCATAATCAAATAACAAACCATCAAGGAATACTGCATCCTCACCCCTCGACAACCATCTCATCCACCATCTTCATGAACCTCTCTCGATACTCCTCCGGATCCGCCGTGATGCTCATCGGTCCCTTGTGCGCAACCTTGTTGAAGATCTTGACAATCTTGGTCAACGCCCTCGCCTGAAAAGCATGCTTCGCCCAGAAAAAGTCCAGCACAACACATCGATACGTCCACTTCCCCTCAACATCATCAACACCCCTTCGCCAGCTTCCTGCGTCAGATTCCACAACTGGAACTTCCATGCCCTGAGGGTATCGTACTAGAAACAGGGAGTAGTCCACTGCGTTGCGTGAGGCGAGAAGTGCAGAGTCTGCGAAGAGTAGAGAGATAAGCTCTTGTTTGGCTTGGTGGGTTACACGGACTTTGTCGGGGAACTCGTCGACGAGACGGTCTATAACGCTGTCTGGAACAAGAGCGCCGTCTGCGATGTCTCGCTCTGGGAAGAAGTAATCGTTGGGCTTGAGGTCGTACGTCTCCCACTTCTTTCCTTCTTCGACCTTTGGTTTTCCATAGAGTAGATTCTCCATGACAATGTGATGTGTCGGGGCGGCACCAATCATACCACCAATGCTTGCCTGCGATGAAACCACCAGATCCGTGATCCTGACGAGCAAACTGTGCGGCTGAAACTTCGTGTGTCCAATGTAAGGATCTAGCAACTCCTTCACAAAGAAGTCATGCTCAAAGCGTCTTGGCAGCGACTTGATGAGAAACTTCTCATTAGCCGTCGTGAAGAAAGTAGAACCACTGTACCCTAGATCACCAATAGGTACAAGCTCAGCATTCTCTTCCCCATCAGTCTGAAAAGACTCATGGTATTCATCTTCATTAATCTGCCAGACTTCTTTGCGCAGAGCGAGAAAGTCAATGGAGCGATAGCGCGTAAGGAGAAGACGAAAGAGGCGGAAGAAGGCGAGTACAGTCTTGATGATGCCCTTCTTTGACTTGCCGTGGCGTTGGCTTATAGCTTTCGCGATAGAGACTGAGATGCGGGATGAACGGATCTTCATGCCTGCGGTTTTTTTTCTTGGAGTGAAGAAGAAGAAGGTTTTAGGCCAATTTTGAGGCTAGAATTTTTGTGTGTTGTTCGAGAAGCTGTTGGTGGAGGGGTAGTCAAGTGAAGATGGTTGAGAGGTTGGGTGAGGCTGACGTCACTGTATTGTCAGTTGAGCATCGAGATCGAGACTTCAAGTTCCATGTGCTTCCAATTTGTGCAACACGACGTGTTTTACAGAGTCAAAAATAGACAATTTCTCAGTAGAAAAAAAAAAGTATTATTGTATCAGCGCTGTATATCCCTATCCTGTTCATCCCGGTCATTACCGTTCCGTATCTATAGTTCTGTATATCTGTGTATGTTTATAAAAAGGAAACCCATCGCTTGCTTTGCGCCAGCCGCTTTAATCCCGTAATAAAGAAAACAATAACTCCGAGTAATTTGCCTTGTTCCTTTTGTATAGCCTCTGTGATAAGCCATCCTGACGCTCTGATATTATGAAATACAGTAGAAAAATGAATGTGTGTTCAGCTTAGAAACTGAACAGTCCACTTCGTCTTTTACCCAAGGGGTAGACGATCAGTGCACTCATGAACAAACCGACACTGATACCAATGGCAACTTGGATGACCTTGAACAAGACATTAAACGCGGTTCCTTCAAGATTGCCCATTGTGTTCATGTCAGATGCGACCTTTGTTCCGTTCTTGGTAATCTCGTCAGCCATGGTGATACTGGCTAATAGAGAACCTCCTGCTGCTAAACCAGACGGAACTTGGACGAAAATAGCTGGAAGCATAGCAGCAGCTGCGAGACTGTATCCAACCTTGCGGGGCTTCTTCTCGGGCTCTTGGTGCTTCTCTGGTGTTCCGGGTCGAGACTCGGGATCGTTGAGGGTAGGGAGGGACCATGAGTCCGAGTCGATTTTCTTCTTGGTATATCGTGGTCGAACCCTGAGCTTCCACCAGTCGACAAAGTCCAGGTATCCGTTCTCCACATGTCGACCCATTCGAGAATACAAGTTTGCAAGAATACCAATCGTCAGGGCACCCAGCATATTGGAGATTTGACCGTTGCCGCCAAAGTACTCAGCGCAGTAACTGTTGACCGACCATCCAGCCAAAGCCATCCCGACCATAACGGGAGTTTGCTTCCACTTGGCTTGGTTGATGAGACAGAGACACATGGTGAAGCCCGGGACGAAGAGGAAGTACCATTCCCGTCCAAGAGGGTTATCACATGTCGAGCGACTCGTTGCGTTACTATCAATCATGCCGTAGAGCGAAGCGCCGATTGTGATACCGTATCCGAGGAAGAGGGTGTAGATGAGTGCGTGAACCATGCGTACACTACCGGCGACGAGGTTATGGCTTTGAAGTTCGAGAGAACTACAGAGGACCATGTACCCTGGAAGAATCAGGGCGATACTGCTCTGCGCTAGTGCACTGAAACAGAAGAGTTTGCCATTTTGGATAGAACCGAATGCTCGAGCGAAGAACGATGTGATAAGGGCGGCCGAAACTTCAAAGACATGGGCGTATAGTTCATTGCTAGGTGCCAGGACGAGTTGAAGAATACCAACGATACATCCGAGAAAGAAAGCGATGGGTAAATCGATGAACCGGCCCTGGAAAGCGAAGGGCGCAACACAAGCTGAAGCGACGCCGTATAAGAACACTCGAATCCAGACGTTGTATTTATCCTTTCGTGCGTTGACGTCGTCAAGTCGTTTCGTCGCTTCTTCCACACCGATCTTGTCGTGAACAACTTCTTTGTAAATGTTGTGTACATCTCGAAGACGACCGAGGTCAATACCCTGCGGTACACGAACGAGCTTAACCTCAGTGGTATGCGTAGTGCTATCATCAAAGCTGATAATCATACATCCAGGGAGGTATAAGAACTGAGCTTCAATCTCAAGGACACGAGACGACATGGTCATGTACTCTTCCAACCGATGTGTAGGCGCACCATACATCATAAGAGCCCTACACAACTTGAGCAGATACCGATGTCGTTGGATAATACCCGCAATATGAATAGTAATCCTCGCCTTGTCGCGCTTTTTGGGGGGAGGCGGTTGTTGTTTTATCTTCTCAGCCCACTTGTCAGAAATATTCGCTGAAGCTGGCGCCGCAAACATGGAAGACGACTTCATCAACTCCGTGAGTGCAAGCGAAGACGTCGAGTGTCTGTTCTTGTGGTAATTGAATAACCCGCTCGTCGGTCGTGAGCGAGGCGGTGATCGGATAGGAGGCGTTCCGCTGGATGAGCCGGGGCGGGATATAGGAGGTGAGTTGCGCGGCGACATGAGTGGTGTACCCGGATCCTTGGGTGTGTTCATACCGCTACCTGGTGTTCTATCATCGTGATATAACTTCAGCAGTGAGGAGAGAATACCGCCGCGGTATTGGTCCGGTCGGGGGACGTAGTCGTGAGCGTAAGCTTGTTGAAGAACAGGCGTAGCAGTTCCAGAAGTCGGTCCGCCGTTGGGATGCTGAGTGAACAAATCCCGTTTTCCCTTGCGGGTATGAGATCTAACTAGATTCTCAGCCGCAGCGTGATGCTGAAAGCGATCAGAGTTTGCTATTCTCTGTCGAAGACCAAAGTATCCTCCTGCATCTTCGATGGTGTTTGACCCAGCCGGCGGCGAAACCTTGGGATTATCATAGTCCTCGATCAACGGCTTAAACGAGGGGACTTCCTCGAGATCAAGCGATCCTCGTCGTGATCCAGGGGCAGAGTAGCTCCCCACCGAGACAGCTAACCGATCAGCTCTCTGTCTCGCATCAGCCATAGATCGGTACTGTCTCTCCGTGGTCCTCGACTCCGCCTGGTCCGCCTTCTCCCGCTCATTAGGATCATCATAGCTCGTATTTCTCCTAAGCGCAGGTCGTGGCCTCTTTGGTCCTGCTACATCCGGGGTATCTGGCGCGAGATTCTGAACCTGTCGTTTCTTCTCCTGCTCAGCGGAGAGGATCTTTGTCAGAGCAAGGCTTAGTTCGTAAGCATCCGGTGCATTGGGTGGTAATTCTCCAGGGGCTAGTTTTGGTGAACCAGCTGGTGAGAAGACACCTTCATCTTTATGCTGCTGTCGTGTCTGCGTTTGTTGCGGGCGAGTTGTCGAGTCGCTGCTCTCTCCGGAGGAATCTTTGCTGGAGTGGAAGCCTACTCGCTTCTTTTCCCTGCGGAGGGGAGTGTGTACCAGACTAGGTCTCCCACCGTTCCCGCTCCCACTCCCACTATCATTCTGTTCAGATAGCATAACTAACGAATGGATATTTTTTATGATGATAAAAAATACCGGGTCTGGAAATTGGGGGGAAAGGCGAGGTTTAAAGGACTGGGCCCCTCGAGGGCAAAACTGAGTTTGGAGGATTGATCATGTTGTCGATCAAGGGGGGCATGATTTACATACTACTTATTCTATGTCTGTTGTATACTCTCGCTCCGGGGCGAGAACAAGAAAAACAAAACTGGAGCCTGTATAGGTTTTTTCCCCTCTGTAGGTGGTCGTGGTGTATTGTTGTGGCTACGGGGGCGGCAAACTTGTGTGATAAGGACTGTGGGTCGCCGAGAGCAAGCCCGAGACTGGACATGCCAGGTTTAGCTCGTTCACTGATCAAGTCTGTGATGATGCTATATAAGTTGATGGATATGATGATGATGGTGTGCTTGGTTCCTTGGTTTCTGGGCCTATAAAGGGCTCGTCATAGCATTCGTGGCATGTTGTTGAGTTGGTATTTGGTACTGGCGATATCATTTTTGGTGTTTTTGCGTCGAGTCATGAGAATTGTTTCTTATCTGACACCCATTGACAGCCAAAACACTCGTCATACATGATGAAAATTACTTAATACCTACGGAGTACACTGGAATTCTCTTCAAACCAAGCAAACCCTTCTCTTCTTCCCTTGCTCAACCCACGCAGGCCAATCCTCGCTTTCCAGACCGACCTGTCGTCTTGGACCTGTCTCATCATGTCTGCTCCTCGTCCTTCAATTGGTCCGGTTAAAAGTGTGTCTTGGGTTATCATGAAAAAAAGAAGCAAACGCTCGGATTACTCGTTCGGGGAGGGCGTGAGATAAAAGATGGACTGCACCCGGGCTGCCGGTACAATAAATTAGAAGCCAGAGCCAGACGACACCAGAGCTAGACGGGGAGAGCTTCCAGCGGGCTTCTTCCACCGCCACGTGCGGGCCGCTGAGACCTTGACGTGCCCTGTGCTTCAGGGGACGATGAGCCCTGCAGCGATCGGTTAGGGGGGCCGGTCGGTTGGGCGCTACTGGCTCTGAATTGGATTGAGGCTCTTGGTCGTTAACTATTGTCAATATTCCCGAGATGGTTTCATTTTTAGTCCACACCATCTTTTGACTGTTGAAGAAGACCAGAGAATCACTGATGATCACCTTCCACGTTGACCATGCAGGGCTGGCAGTTGATCGACACTCTTGGTTGCCTTGATTGGTGTGATAGACATGCGAACTGACGTGCAGATGCAGATACTGACAGAGGCGGTCTCTTGTCCTCTCCCACAATCATAATCGACTGAGGGTTCGTATTCTGACGCGTAATGTTTGGTTGGTGAATGGTGAGTCAGTATCTAACTTAGAGTCACAGATCCATAACTTGGCATTCCTTGTATCCTTGTAATCACATGTTAGAGTTTAAGAGGCTCTTTGGGCTCCAAGTTGGACCTTGATGTTGCTCCATTAATGGAGCATATCTTGAGATCCACCCGATACCGGCTTGTCCGGAGCATCCACCATCAGCGGATCATAGCGCCGATAGAGAACAAGCCAAGCTTGGACTAGACTAGAAACCTCTAGACACGAACGATATCAAATCTGATTGATTGTCTGCCTGTTTCTAATAATTCCATCACCATCAATAATCTTGTTTCTATTCTTGTAAGTTCTCACTCGCATCCCTAGTACATACCCTAGACAGCACATCTGGTTAGTGCATGATAAGCATCCATCCCAATAAACAAGCTTCAGTCCCATTGGGTCTACACCTCGCTCGGTGAAGCACAAGTCAAACTCACCGAGACAGACGCCCAAGCGCGTTCACTTGACGCGAAGCGAAATAGGTTAGGCCATCACTTACGGATAACTCTCGTCACCCTTGAAGATCTGGGCATCAATAATCTCCCTGCATCACCATTGAAACATCATCATCTCGCGAAAACAACTTTCACAATGTCAACGTCCACGTACACCATCCCTGACCGCATCGTGCCCATGCGCGTCATCGTCTGTGGCGTCCATCGCACAGGAACGTTGAGTACGTCTGTTCTATCTCAGGGGGGAGGGGGCTTATCAAGCCCCCCTCTCAACAATTACGCGCGTAATCTAGACTACCACCCGAAAATAGAGCTGAAACAGAACCAATAGGTATTCGTAACGCTCTGTGGCAGCTTGGTTTCCATGACTGCTACCACATGCAAACTCTCTTCAACAATCCCACCCGCGCCCCTGAATGGGTACGTGCCATGGAAGCAAAGTACGCCGATAAGGGCACCTTCACCCGCGCGGACTGGGATCGCCTGCTCGGCGATTGTCAAGCTGTGTGTGATGTTCCCGCTGCGTTCTTTGGTCCTGAGTTAGCGGAGTTGTACCCTGAAGCTAAAGTCATTATCATGAATCGAGACCCTGAGAAGTGGTATGAGAGTGTGCTTAATAGTATCTACTTGATAACCACGCCAAAGGGGTTCTTGGCTAAACTCACTATGATTTATTGTTTCTTGCTTGATACGAATCTACAGTACATGGCAAAGTATAGCAAATCAATGAGATCTCTGGTTCAGAAGTATGATCATGGAAATGATAAGGAGAAGGCAATTGCATGGTATAAAGCGCAATATCAGGAATTTCACGACAGGATTCCAGCGGATCGGTATATCGAGTATACCATCACAGAGGGCTGGGGACCGCTGTGCGAGTATCTTGGTGTTCCTGTACCAGAAGTTCAGGACCCTGAGACAGGAAAGATGGTTGAAGCACTGTTTCCACATCTCAATGATGGTGAGACGTTTAGAAGGAACAGCAAGGTCATGAAGAAGAAGACTTTGCAGAGGGCGAATCAGAACTTACTGGCGGGCGTGGGGAGGTTGGCGTTGACGGGTGTGTTGGGATATGCTGGTTATCTGGCATGGAAGACTCGAATTGGGGGACGTGTTTAATCGAGTTTGACATAGTTTGATTGCTTGATCTTGATCAATGAGGGCAGTGTATTTGTATTGTAACATAAGAACTTTCTTATCTTTTTGTTAAGGACACATCAGAATTCAGGTACCAGGCCACTCACGCAAGCTATGCTAGGATAGTATGTTCAACATCAACTTTCGTACATCGCTTTTGTTCATATTGTACTTGTACTAGACCTATCACCACATTCTTTGTTACCCAAGCCCATGTCTTTCCAACCATCGTTCAACCCATCATCTGCAAAAGCTTCATGAGCTCCGCAACATCAGCATTGTTTGCCATCGCCCCCAAGTGTCCATCCCGATCCATCTGCTCCTTCTTGAACCTCCTCGGCCCCCACAACTCGGATCCATCAACATCCACATCCTCGACTTCCTCCGGCTCAACCTCCGTCTCCCTCGCCTCCTTGATGATCTTTCCTTTACCCTCGTTCAAGAACTCTTCCATGACTTCCGTGGCCACGTTGAGGAACCTGTCATTTCCCACGCCGCGCTTTCGAACATCGGAGCCGTGTCCCGAGGCCGTCGAGAAGACGTAGCCTACTACAAAGGGCAGCTGGTCCTCGGAGGGCACGTAGTTGAGGAACTCGGGGCCGACTTCGGCGGTCAAGGCACGCTTGAGATCGGTGAGGAGGGACCAGGCGATGTTGTGCATGGTGAAGTAGTTGAAGCTGATACGAGGGACTTCGCTGTTGATGACTTGGGCGAGCTCCTTGATGAGACCACTTGGAGATGTCGGTACTGTCTCGAGCTGGCATCTGTTAGTAAAAGCTTGCAGTGAGGACTTTCAGGACTTACATTGGCCTCCTTGGCCTTTTACTTCAGGTCCGCTTGTATATGACCTTTGCCATCCATCATCGCCTTCTTGCGACCCTCCGTCAAGAGTTCTCCAACACTAGCAATCGTCCAAGGCTCACGGGCATTATCAACACGAATACGGTTATCCAACGAGAGAGAAACCCAGCCATCGACCTTCATGTTTGGTGCATTACCTTTGTGCTCGGTAGGCTTGGAGCCCCGTCTGTTCGGTGTCCAGTTGGTGAGCGAGGTGCCCAGGCAGAGGCAGTAGTTCTTGTAGTAGCCCTCGAGATCCGTGGGCGGGTTTCCGATAAAGAAGCACGCGTTGCCTTGGTATCCCCACAACTCCTCGAGATCCTCCCACGCTTGTCCTTGGGGAATACGGCCCTCTTGTCGGAGGGCTTGGTAGAGCTGTGTAGTAGTCATCAGACCACCACTGGGCGCAGCAGTCTTGACACCATAGTAATGCAGCGCAGATCGCATGTGATGGATCAAAAGACCGCAGTGTATGGGGTTCCGACGAAGGAAGTGGAACTCAGGAGACTCTTCACTATCGTGAGGCGCCAAGCCCATCCCCACGTTTACCTGGCTCATCTCGAAGATAGGATCGTGATTCCATCGCGTCGCCGCCTGAAGGACCTGCCTGCGCTCAGGCGTCTTGGGAAGATCAACAAGAGCCTTTTGGATCTTCAGACTCTCTTGCTTGAACTGCTCATACCCGCGCCCGACGGACTCCCCAAGACCCTGGACGATGTCGAGATACATCTGAAGAGCCCACGATATCCAGAGACGAGGGTGCTCCCTGGCCACCCTGAGCGCAGCGCCCATGCCGCGGACAAGCTCGTCCTCCACGTCGCCATGGCCAGGGGTTGTGGTAAGGAAGTGAAAGCCGGGAAAGGCCTCCATCAGGGCCGAACTGTCCTGATTCCACCTCTCGGTGTTATTTCTGCCATTGGCACCGAGCCTCTCCTTATATCAACCTAAGGCGCCGTTGTAGCGTCCAGGATCGATATTATTACGGCTGTGTTTTACGTAGCTGTCGAAAAAGACCCAGGATGTTTAGAGACAGGAGCTTGCCCACGTCGTAAGCCGCAAGGTTATACATAGTGCCTGGGGTCTTCTTATCCTTGTCGATGCCCATCGCCTCACAAGCTACGTCGAAGCACTGGTGGGCGAAGATGGCTGTTCCGCCAAACTTGTCCATCAGCTTCTTGATGTCCGCTTCCATGCTGGGAGCAAGCTCAAATGCTGTGTTGGTAGCCAGAGCCACAGCGGCGAGGTCAAGCTCACCGCTGGCGTACTTCTCCCAGAGCGAGTGAATCTCCTGGCTGAGATAGTCATAGTCGCGGAGAAGGGCGGCGAAGGCGAAGAAGGCGTCTTCCCATTTGACCTCTTCCTCAACGGTGTATTGAGTCTCAGGTTCAGCAGTAGGAGTAGGCGTGATGTCAGGAGCGTTGAGGAATTCCTCAGAAGGAGTGTAGACGTTGAGGACGTCAAACATGCCCTTGGTGGGGTGGTTTGCCTTGACATCTGACTTCTTGTCGAGATCATCTGGTTTGAAAAGACCAGCTTCCATGATTGGTTTGAGATAGCCGCGGACTTTCTCCAGGACTTCTACGAAGTGAGAATGAGAAGCATCAGAGCGACGATCCCTTCTTGCACCACTCTCTGTGAGTTTCTGAGAGAAGGACCTGCGAACTGGGAACTGTATCAGTACCACTGGAATCAACATAATCAGAAATGGTCAACATACCCCAGATACCTCTCTCCAAAGCAATGGCAGTCTTGTGAGGAACCTCGACAGCATTGGTCTCAGCAACATGTTTAGCCATAGCCTCAAAGTCCCTGACTCTGATGACATATTTCTTGGTGCTCGGGTCCTGCTTCTCTTGCTTCTTCTTGTTCTTAGCTCTACTGGGACCTTTGCTGTTTCCATTTCCCTTTCTCTTCTTCTTATTCTTGAGAGCGTCGAGAGCGGCGGCGCCAACTGCAGCGTCAGCGTCGTAGCCGTGGGCTTTGGCAGTGTTGGCCAGCCATGTTGCTACAGAGTCAGTGTCGGCTTTGTATTGTTGGTAAATGCTCATATAAGCTGGAGAGAGCGTTTTGAACTTATTTGAATTTATTTGTTGATTCTGTTGATATTTGGTTAAGGTTGATGTTGATGTTGATGAAGATGGTTGAGATGTGGACAGCCTCGTTGCTACAACGAAGGTTGGCTAGTAGTGGAGGGTACCTAGCAAAAAGCAATGCCGATTTCCCCTGAATACGGATTTATTAAATTCCGCATGAGGTCATAACAGTTATCTGACTATCGAAAGCCATGTCTCAAGTTACCAATCCCAGTATTTTTGTCTTTTCTCATACAAAATGATAAGAGGTCTTGATTTCCAGTGTATCCCGGCAGTTATATGATGCTTTTTGAGGGTCATGAACCAGCATTGGCAGTCAGTAATGTAACCACTCCACACACAATCCACCAAACTACGCCTACATCCGGGAATAAACAAGATATAAATAGATCTCCCATAGCAGCATCCATCTTCAAAGATCAGATTCACACAAAACAGCACAAAACATCGACAAGAAACACAGAATAAAACCCCCCACGTAAAATGCACGTGAGGAATACGGTCTGCAGTGGCCCGTTGCGCTCACTCCCAACACCACAATCAGATCACGACGATCAGCTGCCCTCCCCCCTAAAGAATATTCCTTCAATTAAAACGCCCAATTCCCCAAGATCTCTCTTTCTAGCGTTGTCTCTTCTCTCAGCTCCCCCACGCTCTCTTCAGCATTCCTCTATAAAGTTACACGGCAATTGGCGGGTGCTATTGGACAGCCTGGACGTGGGGGTTGGAATAGTCAGACGACTTGTGAACGGACGGTACCTGCTTTTGCGAAGGATGATCGCTGTTTTGTGTTCTGTTTGTGTGGTTCTCTGTGATGGATGGCAGCCTTTACAATATGCTCGACATCTTTGCTTCCATTTCGTAAAGGTGGCGTTTTGTGTAACTCTCCGTGTAAGTGACTCCCCTCTTGATCCTCTCTATTCATCCATTGAAGCCGTCAATTGCAGAGGGAAAAAAAACCCCCACGATCACTTCATGTCTCTTGACTCGTGTGAGGTCACCGGTTCGGCCCGGAATCTCTCGGCCGGACCTCAGCGCATGCCTCTTGTCGTGTCTCTCCCCCGCCTTTTCAACCACGTACCCAGGGATCCGGACCTAACCCCCACGCTTTTCGAACCATGCCTCTCTCGAACTCAAGTGCCTGAGCCTGAGCCTGGAGCAGTGGGCTACCTCATGACGAGGACGCCACTCTTATACCTAGTCCTTGGTTGGACATAAAAGAGCAGCTGACGCCAGCCTCTTTGAACAATGCCTCTTCATCATTCTTCTCACTGCCTTTCTTGTTCTTTACCTGTATAAAAGAGAGCCTGCTTGCTGCGTGTAATCTGCTTGCACTTATATACTTTACACTTATATCATACCATATGCCTTCGACATTGCTTGAATCTCCCACCATGGGCTCCCCCAAGGCTTCTCAGCTGCGCCTCGGCGATGGCGTATACGTCCCTACCCTTGCCTTCTTCACTTCCGAGGACGAGGTCGATGCTTCAGCTACTGAGAAACACATCATCAAGCTTCTCGAGTCAGGAGTAGCCGGTATTGTTGTTCACGGCTCCAACGGAGAATGTGCCCACCTCTCTCCTTCAGAACGAACCACCATCATCCGCGTTGCCAGAGATACCATCTTCCACGAGGGCAGTGGTACTCGTGTTCCTCTCATCGCAGGCTGTGGTGCCCAGAGCACAAGGGAGACAACAGAACTGTGTGAAGACGCCGGCAAGGCTGGTGCCACACATGCCCTGGTTCTACCTCCAAGCTACTACGGCGGACTTCTCCCCGATGATCTAGTCATTCAGCACTACTACGCCGTGGCAGACAAGAGCCCAATTCCTCTTCTGGTGTACAACTTCCCCGGCGCCGCAGCTGGCCGAGACCTCTCATCCGACACGATCCTCAGCATCGCCAAGCATCCCAACGTCGTAGGCGTCAAGCTCACATGCGGCAACACCGGCAAGCTCGCCCGCATTGCAGCAGACTGTCCCGAGGGCTTCTGGGTCGGCGGCGGCAGCGCAGACTTCATCCTGCAAGGCCACGCCGTCGGAGCCAACGGCACCATCTCAGGCCTCGCCAACCTCTGCCCCAAAGCCTGCGTGCGCATCACAGAGCTCGCAGAGGAAGGGAACTGGAAAGAAGCCCGTCAGCTGCAAGCCAAAGTGGCCAAGGCTGACTGGATGGCGATCAAGACTGGATTCGTTGGTGTCAAGGCAGCGCTGGGACACTTTTCCGGGTACGGGGGCGAACCTAGACGACCTTGCGTGGCGCCATCTCAGAAGGATCTCGATACTATTGCACAAGGGTTCCAAGAGGTGATGGATCTTGAAGTTACTCTCTGAAAGAAACAAAAAGCATGTTTTTGGTTCGGTGGGAGCAAAAGCAGGTTGCATTGGGCGGTGACGACGTTGATGATGACGATACCTGTTATTTCGAAGCAAAGCACGGAGATGGTGTTGTGGCGTTGGGCATACACTACTGTACACATCCATCAATCATATCAGGCTGTTCTGTAGCAATAATTTCTTCTCTGAACATAAAATGAATACCAATTAATGCTTGAAGCATATACCTACACTACACCAATATGCCTGATTACCCCATGGAAACTACCCTTCCCCGCAAAGTGGCCATATTTTTTCAATAATCCCACGCATGTGCAGCAGAAGCCGGTGAAGAAAAAGATGTGTCTCGTGGTCGATTACTTGTAGCCAATGGGGAGTCAAAGATGGTGAGGAGCACGCTGGACATTGCCGCTTTGGGGCGATGATGCTTACACGAGGTGTCGGATGTTCAATAGGTACCGTACAGGATATGCTGAGAGGGAGCTTGGATGGGAATCCTCAATCGTGGGGAACCCCGCAGTTGGATCTGGATGTGGAGTTGACGCTGTGAAAGAGAGCAAGTAAGAGAAGCTGAGTTTGTAATGGTGTTGAAGGCCTCGGAGGGAGCCCGAGTTCTGTAGTGTACCTGTACTTGATACTGCAGCCATGCAAGTTCAAATCAGGTATTTGAACAAGCTTAGAAGCACTGATATACATGCAGACCAACTGAACAGGCAGTGAGAAGACACTCATGCCAAGAATCACAAGCAATTCCTTTCATGAGGGGGAACCAACATGAACAGGTCATAAGATGAACCCAGAAAATACATAGCGTAGTATACGGAGTAGCCAACACTTGCAAAGAGGAGAATGTGGAGAATGGCTAACAAAGTGCCCGATGCGTTCGTGTGGAGAAGCGTGGGGGTCTAAAAGTCACTCGGGTGCAGTTCCCGGGCTGAAGCTAAGTCAAGACGGTGAAGAAAAAGCGTATGTTTCGGGCCATTGAGGAGCGAGATCATGCCATTGACTTTAGGTATGTAATGTTGTGTCTATGCTAGAAGGAGTCTAGAACTCGGCTGCGTCAAAGTTGCGGATCAGGTCGTAGTAGAACTTGACAATGTCCATGTGCGACTCAATCCTTATCCTCTCATCGACTGTGTGAATGTTTTCGGATCCGCGCTGTCGACTCGGTGTCCAGCGGTAAATGTTTGGCGACAAGTCTGTAACCTATTAGTATATTCTCTCGCTTTGTGTAACGATGTACTTACTGAGGTAATGTCTCGTATCAGTGTTGCCAGTCATGATTTCACCGACAGGTACGACCTTTCCGCCGTCGAAAGCAAAGCTATGCTGGATTGTACCAGAGAAGATATCCCAGATTGGGCCGCTTGTAGGTGATACGGGTGTTGTGACTGAGTTGCGAATCGCTGTGAGTTTGAGATGGCCATCGTAGTCGAATCCAGATTCCTTCTGAAACTCTGCGTCGTCTGCGTAGGCGCTCAGGGTGAGGTTGTACTTTTGAATAACGGCGTCAATATTCTTGACGAAGTGCTCCTGTACCTTGTCAAGGCTGTCTTGAGGCGCCACACGGTAGTTGACACCTAGGTTGACAACTTCTGGCATGGCATTGATCTTTTGACCGCCGCGAATAATATCAACGGCTTGTGTCGTCTGGATAGTGAATTTGGCCGTGGGATCAAGATGAATAAGCTCATCTTTCAACTTCTCTAGATCGTCTTTCTTGAGAAGATCATGGAGTTTGGTGTGTGAGTCCGGTGAATGACGTGCCAAGCAGACAAGGTGGTTGTAGACAGGGCTTCCCTTGAGAATAGCAGGTTCATATGGCTTGGACTCGAGAGCAGATATGATCTCAGCCATGATACCGATACCGGTGTGAGGAGAAGGAATAGAACTGTGACCGCCCTTCACGCGAAGTTCAGCCCAGATATCAATAGCGCCCTTCTCCTGCACCGAGGGAAGAACGTAAAGAGTATCGTCGATGAGCTGAATTCCCGAACCGCCCTCGTCCAAAATGAACAGAATACCATTGTCGCCATATCTCTCCGTCAAAAACTCTCCAATCTTAGCAGCGCCTCGAGGACCAGAGCACTCCTCATCGAATCCAAACGCCAGGATCAAAGTACGCTTAGGCTGCCATTTGGTCTCGGTGAGCAACGTCTCAATGGCCGACATGAGAGCTGTAAGACTATTCTTGTCATCCGATGCTCCACGGCCCCAAAGCCACTCTCCGTCAAAGTAAGCGTCGAAGGGCGGATGCGTCCATGTTGATGGATCAGGTACGGGAACAACATCTTGATGAGCTGCAAGAAGATAAGGCTTGAGTGAAGAGTCGCTTCCGGTAAATGTGTAGACAAGACCAAACTTGTTAATCTTCTCCAGTTCTGCGTGTTTATGTCTAAAACGGTCAGTAAGAGTCTGTGGATTGAGTTTGGTGGCTTACATGGCTGGGTATGTCTTTGCCAGGACATCATGTAAATCATAAAACGGCGCCCAACGTTCATCTTTGTCAACATCGCCAAGATCGTCATAACAAATTGACGGAACGCGCACAATCGCTTGATGGCGCTTCACCTGCTTATTAAAAGCATCCTTCGAGTCAAAGAGTTCATTTGCCGAAGGCAGGCCATCGTTTCCAGGTGAGAGCACAGGCGGCAAATCGCACTTAAAGTCATGCTCACTCTGACCAATTGGCTTTTGAGATCCAAAGGGACCAAGACTGAAGCTTGAGGCTCCAGCTACAGTGGCCAAGACCGCGAGAGACTTGCGCACCATTTTGAAGATATTGGGTGAGATGTCGAGGTTTGAGAGGGAGGATTTGTCAGATGAAACGGGCGGGGAATAAAAGACATGAATGATGATGGAGTCGGTAGCTAGCACGACATCGGCGCCGAAGCCGAGGCCGGACCCGGTTCAAGATAACGGTCGCTAAAAGTGTTCCCGATGAGGAAGTTGAGACAAAGAACTTTTGATTGAGGATTTTCGGGGGTAAATTTGTGTTGATCAGTGGGTTTGATGTTATTCCCGTGGGTATTCTCTGATTATCTTGTGGCTGAGAGCTTATTCTGGCAGAGAGAACCTCGTAGTATACATAATGTGAATTGCAGAATTCTTGGATCCGTCACTGCCCCTCGACAACACCTGAGCTCCCGTCTCGTTCCATCTCGGTTTGTTTTCGGTGGTGAGCTTGCGGTTGAGGCTGGTTCGAAGACTTGGGTTGTTTATTGAAATGGAAGAACCCGTTTTTGGCACCTTTTTTGTATCGTCTGATGTTGGCTGTACTGCAGTTGTTACTGATAGATTAGGCTGGTGTTCTTCAAGAGTAGACGAGATAGAAGGATAGGTCGAGGGACCCTAGTTGGCAACAGCAGTTAGCTAGTGTAGTAGAGACAGGTAAATCAAAACGAACCTCCGTTCTGCACATCGACCATGTGTGAGATGGTCGATGGCCCGGGACCGGCGCCTCCTAGTTTGGAGGCCCAGCTGATCACCGGCATCATCTTCACCCTTCCGTAGTAGTTAGCTCGTGTTATAGAAGCAGCTTGGTCGGAACGAACCTCCGCTCTGCACATCGACCATGGCAGGGATAGCTGATGACCGGGACCGGCGCCTCCTAAATTGGAGGCCCAGCTATTCACCGGCATCATCACCCTTGCGTAGTAGTTAGCTTGTGTAGCATAGACGGCTCGGCCAAAATGAACTTACTCCGTGTCTACCGACCACGTCTCATATAGTCTTCCGGGCAGCCGGCGCCTCCTTGTTCGAAGGCCCAGCTGTTTCACCGGCATCATCACCACCCTTGACATCTCCAAGTCGCTTTCCCAGCCATATCTAATCTGCAACAAACTGAGGAATGAGCAATCTCATCGACATGAGCGGGATCGATGATAGCGAAGTTGAGGACGTTGACCTCGACGCTGAGCTGTCTAAGCTCAGAGAATCGTACNNGAGAAACTTACGCGCTCAGGCCGGATCTTCACGGCCGTGGCTAGGTTGTGCAAGTTCTTGCTTTGAGGGTTCTCCAGCTCCGACCCGAGCTTGTCGATGCCCGTGAACCCCTCTAAAGATGGTTTGTAGTGAAACGTAGACACAATTGGTATTCAATCTGCCACCCATAATCGGTGTGTCAGGTATTATTGCTCTTGCTCATCGTGGAGGTCATGATTCACCGCCATGACAACTGAATGCACAGCTTGGGCTTTGATTTGTACTAGCGCAGTCCTCAGGTCAGAGACGTTGAGTTGCATTCTAGAGACCCCGTGTGGAGAAGGGCGGTGCCGAATTTCAAAAGCCTTTTCATCGTCTCTAAATGTCAAACCGACTACTGAGGTCTGCGGAGTGAACGCAAAGTGAACGCGCTTCCTTCCTTGGATGGGTTCGAAGTGCGTAGTGCCCAAAGAACGGATGGTTTGATGGTTGCAACTATCCGACATCTTGGCAAAGAGTAGAATAGGAGGGGGAGGAGCAATAGGAGGAGGAGGAG